TCTTTCTTTTTTAAAATGGCAGAGGAAGATTCCTTATACTTCCCATTCCATGGTTGGAGACTTCAAACTCAAAAGGAAAAACCAGGCCTTGGATATGCTTCTACTGCTGGATTCTGCCAAAATCAGATAATCTCAGCTCTTGAAATGGAAACAGGAAGTTGGATCCATACTTGATCCAACTTGATCTATACTTTTCCATCCCATTCCTCAAAGTGAGAAGCAAGTGGAAAAAGAGATTCCCTCCAAGAAGAGAGTAATACCATTTTATATCTACTTTGCATCTATCAGTGGATTTTTCAGAGTAGTCCAACTTTTAGAATTTCTTTTAATTATGCAGATCATCTATGCTGAAAAAAAACCCATGGCTTTTCTTACTAAATCTTCCTTCCTAAGAAGGCTTTTGATAGACCTGGATGATAAATATGTTTATCCCACAAATTTATTATACTAAACTGTTCTTTAATTGTGCAAGATCGTTACAATATTGCTAATGTTATTTCCAGGCCTTTTCCTAATGTTCTCTAGTGTGGAATCTGTCTTTTTTCATAGCTGCTGCAGTTTGAGTTCACATTTTCATTACCCTATCCACTATGACCCTAATATTTTGTTCTTGGTTAGTTACACACAACTCAGACTACCATCAGTTTATATGTAAAGTTAGGACAGTTTGCCTCTGCGTGTATTATTTTACATACATATTTAAATGTAACCATGTTTACCTCTCAATGTCGATTCACCAGTTTGAATAGATTTTTCTGGAGCTCTTTGTGCTTGCTTTTGGTTTTTACCACCCTGAATGGTTTGTTATAATTGCAAATTGGTCTTCCTCATGACTTCCTTCCCGGTCAAGATCATTTCTGAACTAATTAAGAAGCATGGTTCCCAATTCAGCTCCTTGAGGCATTCTGTTTTTTATTTCTTCCTGTGAGAAAAGTGGCCATCTACTATTTTTTGTTTTCTGCTTTTAGCCAATTGGCAGTCCATAAAAGGGCAGATCCTTTTAATGCATGATTGCTAAGCTTACTCAAAAACTTAGTTCCTAGTTTTACTCAAAGAGTTTTGGTGGCAATATTTGTTCTAAGCCGAGAGCCATTTGTAAAATTATTAGAGAGGATCATATTATTAAGCTATATTAAATGACATCTATTATATGCAGGTGGCTAAATAAAGACCTAGTATTTTATGACATCATGTAAAATTGCAGGTTACAAATTAAACAGAGTCAAGATGAAATTAATAGAAATAAATATTTAAGACTGTGACAATGAAAAAATAAACAAATTGAATAACTTGAAATGGTCAACCAAGCCTGAAATGTTCAGAACTACAAACTCTAAATTAAACACAATTATAGGGGAAAATACACACACACACACACACAACTTGAACAATGCTTGACTTCATAGAGTTGTTTGATTAAAAATGATATAACCATAAAAATGTCCCAGGTGAGATATCTTTAAAGACCTGGCACTGTGTCAAAATTAATTAACTGACTTTGTATTATCAGATAATAAATTGAAGTAGAACTTGCAATACAGGAAAGACTAAAACCTAAAGGACTCATGTTAGATGCAAATATTATACAATTTGATTCGGTAATGAGAGAATGGTAGTAATAAGGGAGATCACTTAAAACCAAGAACATGCAGTTCTTTTCAGCCAAGAATTTCATTTCCAAGAATCACATTCTAATAAAAAGCCAGAAAAGACAGTACATTACCGATAAAGGAGAATATGTGTAGCTCAGAGTTGAAATGAGGGGTCCTTGGTGCTCTCTGAGCTTGGTGGTTTTCTTGCTGATATTTCATTACCCAAACTAGGTAACATCATCCGTAATAATCAGTGCTAGACAAGTACCGATAATGTTACCTAGTTTAGGTAATGAAACATCTGCAAGAAAACCACCAATCTCAGAGAGCACCAAGGACTCCTCAGACAGTACATTTGATAAAAAGAAACTTAAATAAATTACTTTTGAAGCAACTGGTCTCATGTTAAATTGGTGACAACTTTTGGAGAAACTCTTCTAAGGCATGGCCTGGGGAAGTGGCAAAATCATCTTAAGATACTAAATTGCATGTCCTCAAGTTTAATAAATATTGGAATGCATAGATGTAAACAGCAACCATCAAAATTGTCTTGGCCTATCAGGAAAAAAAATCATAATATTAAAATTAAAAGTAGTGGATTATGAAAACATACTTTTCATAGGCTTTTGTGAATACATTTTGATTAATAGTGTGCTCAGGTTTTGATAGGCAGAGATATATTGCCAGTTACCTCTTTAAACAAGAGTATTAGAAAAAGTGTTTTTATATAATGGACAAACTGCAGTGGTTCCAGTTTATTCAGATGGCAGATTTTAAGTACCATATATAATGTTATAATGACTCTCAAATAGTGACTTTAAGATTAGTATTAAATACATTTTTAAAAAATGAACTTTAGAAGTAAAAATGATTACATGTCTTATCAAACATGCTGTCTGTTTTGGATGAAAGCAATTACAATATTATTTTGGAAATTGATATTTACAAGTGTAATGTCAAACTGTACTTGGGTTACTTTTAAAAAGAATTAATAAATCCATACTTAATGTAGTGTGTAAAATGTTACTTATGTAGTCATATTTGCATATATCACTAAAGATTGGTTAGACAGGCTTTTTATCTAAAATCCATGTTATTTTTTTAGTGTGATGCACATAAAACACATCAATCAATGAAAACAAATTTTGATGGCAGCAAAATTAATCACAAACAAAATGCTACTAATTATATGTATGGATTAGTAAATTGGGGCAAGCAATACAATTACAGAAAATCAGGCAGATTTGCACTAGTAAAATCCAAGATTTTTCAGCAAATAGAATCTGTATATTGAATACTGTACTGATTATTCAAGAAATTAATGCCTAATAATATTTCCCTATCTCTCAATTAACCTATTTTCACAGAAATATAATTGAATATTAATATACATTTTCATTTCATTATTATATGCGAATTGATAAATTTTTATATTATATTGTATACTAAAATGATTATTATCATTTTCTTTTCCTTATTACAATTTTACTATTGTTTACTCAGTGGTTTTATTTCAACTATAGCTTTAAAAAAAAAACTCCAAAGATCATACATATAGTCCAACACACTCATAAAATATAAATTAAACATGTACAATTACACATATGTAATTGGAGAATTAATTAGCATCCATATATACCAATAGATAGCAATTTTGTTGCCTTGTTTATATAGCGGTTGCATCTTAGCTGGAAGGCACTGAGGTCACGGCCTATCTCTGGAATTGATGGGATCTTACTGTGAAAGAAAAGTAATAGATTCAAATTGCTGAAATCCATCATATCTTTTGCCCAAACTTTGTTATCCAAGTATTATGAGATAACAACTTATCTCTTTGTTTCCCCCTGTCTTCAGTCACAATATCTGTTTTAATGAAAAATGGGATTCCGCAATAGTTGTATGTTTCTAATTCCTAACTCTTTTGCTATGTTGCAGGTAACTGCACATCTTTGTAAAGTAAGAAAGCTACTGATATTTTGTACCCATCATAATTCTTTTGTTAAAGTATCATATTCATGGGCTTATAGCTCATTCAAATCACAGCCAATTTTCGCAGGAACACTCAAAGGCACTTCTTGACAACGAGAGAGGTTTTTCTACTAAATTTCAGAGTTCAGCCCTACCTATTTCCTATCTTGGCACTGTTCCAGGAAAAGGAGTTGCAATGATAATATTTAAAGTACATTTTCCCATATTTTACTTATATTCAAACATGATATGTACCCTTGTTGCAAATTCTTACAAGAAATAATCAATTCCAGTATAACTCAAAATCTAAAAAAATTTGAGCTACAAAAATGAATGTTTCTGGAAATGATAGGTATCTAAAATTGGGGTGCTGGATTGGAAATGCTAATATTGGAATATCTGCTGCTTACATTGATAGAGACACAGCTTCCAGGGACAGGTTGAAATCTTAAAATGGGATGGCAATTCTAAAGGCAGGGAATAATATAGCCAGCAATGCACAGGGAAAAATCATGTTGGTTGTGGGAAAAATAAAATTATTTTGCCTAAGCTGCTAAGAAAAAGAGGATTGCATGAGAAAATGCAGATGTGGTTAAAATAAAATACAGGAGAACCATATTGTTTTTCTGTATGTATATAGCACTTTCAACAATCATACACAAGAATTTTAGAACGTCAGATGAGCAAAAAGGCAAGGCCTGATACCAAGTAATTGCCTTTCTCTTATGCCTGACAGTGGACTGGGAATGCTAAAGAGGATTATATGGATAGAATGCATTTAAACCATGTGAACAAGGACAAAAAGGGGTATTTCCTAGGACTCTGACTATTGTATAGCAAAGAGGTGCCCTTCTTGTTCCATATGGGAGCTTCCAAGTAGTCCGGATGTAGCTTGACACAATATGCCATTTGCACTATCCGTTTCTTCCACTTCAGGTCAAAGTTACAGCTGGAGCAGGATTCACTGGCAGTGTTCCCTCAAAAGATCTTGAAGGAATGGAATAGTGTTTGACATCTCAAATCTTTCCTGCAGCTAAAAAGCTAATACTTTATGTTGAGAGGGGAAATTTCAAAATAGGTAGTTGTTTACCTGAGACAAGATGTTTATTTAGAGAAGCATTCACGTATGCAACCCGTCATTGCCATAAAAAGTGGTAGAATATATTTCATTGTACTTTCCTGACCTTCTGCTGCACATATAAAGCAAATCAAAGGAAACCTGGAGAGGCGGCCTTGCCTGTTAGTAGTATTTTGGAAGGGGATGGTTGGGGGTCCTGGAGAATTTCAAATGCTTCCTGGAAGAATGCATTGATACTAAGTGACTCCATAGAAATAGAGTGTGTGGATGTTGTTTTTTTAAAGGCTTTAGCCATGTTTGTTTAATATGCAGACTGCACTAGGCACTTAATTCAGCACAAATTTGAAAATGTGATCTTTCAGGTTGGCATGACTACAGAAGAAATAGATTATTTGGTTCACCATGAAATAATCAAGCACAATGGTTACCCGTCACCTCTAGGATTTAAAGGTTTTCCAAAATCTGTGTGTACTTCAGTAAACAACGTGGTAAGCCATGGAATTCCTGACAGGTACTCATGTTTTTGTTATTCAAATTAAGATTATGTGGATATCCATGTTTTTTTTCGTGTTACACTTTCATAGCATATTGTCCATTCAGCCTCCTTAATATGCCACATTACAGATCTTTACATTTTCCATGTGGTTTGCATGGAAATTCTCCTTTAACCCAGATGAATCAAGATGAATGCAGCAGCCAGGCTCGGTTACTATATTTTATCAAACCAAGTACCACTGGTTGCTGTGCAGTAAGAAAATGATGTTGGCACTTATCAAAGGGGGATAATAATAATAAAAGCAAAGATTATTACTTCGCCATCTCTTTTCCCAGCATGGTACAGTACCTCAGTCTGGGATATATCATCAAAAACAGAAAAGTCACTCAATAGAAAAATTATACTAATTTTCTGGAAATCTAAAGGTGGAGTGTGTGTGTTAATTATACATGAATATGTTGCTAATTATTAATGAATATTATCTGTTCAGAAAATAAGAGGTGCCAAATGTCAGTCTTTCCATGATGATAAGATAATCATAATGGTGATTTTTGTTCCTTTGCTTTATATTATGGATTCTTTCTTTTATTTAAATTATTGTTTGGGGTTAACTTGAACTGGTAACTAAAAGTAGTTATCACCTTTGCCTGCTTCCATTCTGCTTGACAATTATAATGATGCTTTTCATGTGGCTTTGTGGCATATGGGATAAAGTGTATTTGTTTTGTTACTCTGTCTTAACTAAGATTTGCCTGTCACCATTAAATGTATCTTTTTTCCCCTTTCCTTTCTGATTATGCTTAAGCCGCCCTCTCCAGGATGGTGATATTGTTAACATTGATGTCACAGTAAGTAATTGATTTATTATTATTATTGCTTTCGATCAGTTTTCAAAATTCATAATCACAGTAGGAAGAACACTAAATTACAGATGTGCAAGGGTTTTACTCCAAAGCTAAGACAAAAGCAGTTAGTTTTATTCCAAAGCTAAAGCAAGAGCAGTTTAGTTTCCTCTTGTATTGTTATTGTTTTCCTCTCCCCATGCTTATTCTGGCTGGATCTAGGCTTGACTTGAATTTAGGGCTGGAATCAGATTCACTGAGATCAGTGTTGGCCTAAGTGAAATGTCAGCCCAATCCTGCTATGTGTCATGTTTTTGAGAAGATGTAATTGTTATTGATCCACCGTGTAGTTAATGCAGAGCGCCCCAGTACTGGGGCAGCAGTTGAAGGCAAATATGTATGAGATGAGCTAACATGAAGAAAGCCGGCATTTTTCCTTCACTCTGCCAAGATTGATCTTCCTCTTCCTGCTGATTTTGAGTGGGGCCTGTCATTATCTTACTCTGTCATTAGAGGCTACATTGGCCTGTGTGTCAGTCTATTTGGACAGCAACCCTTTGGCTGGCTGTGTTCCCTACATTTATTAAAATCCTCAAAGGTAGCGTTGTGTTCTGTTTGTGGCGTAAGAGCCATGAACTCTTTACTCATGAATGCACAACCTGATCCACAGCCCACTTAATCCAAAGTACTCAGGTATCCCCGTGGGACCGTTTCAATCCAGTTGCTTGACTTATCTGGCTTATAGAACCCATTAGGTGCATAAGGTACATATGTAGACTTAAAACAGGACAAAAACAAACATTTGCTATGATGAGTATTCATTATAAAATGGATTGATATACCAGTATGAGCAAAGAAAACATGAGTTTATGTCCTTATTTGCATATCTTTAGAAAAAGTAAACATTTCAAAAAGTGTTATTAACATATTTTTCTATAATTCTTGAAATTTTGAATATATTTTCTCCAAAATGTTGAAGATTGAAATCCTGTGTGAATTGAATTTATAAATGTTGAAACAAGTTCTTCCTTGATTTTAATAATGGCTTTAGTTTGATTCCATCCTACAGAACTTGTTTTTTCAGCTGTCTTTTTTTAAAAAAATCCTAGTTATTGCTTTCTCAGTATTTGCTTCTTTTTTTGCAGTCAGCTAATAGTGGCTTTTAGAGTATTGATCTAAAATGCCTCTGTGTGTGTGTGTGTGTGTGTGTTGTGTGTGTGTGTGTGTGTGTGTGTGTAACTTATGAATTGTAGCCACGGCCTATACTTTTGAGTATATTTTAGATCAGACAGATTATTATAGTAAGTATTAATTTGTGGTTGGATGCAAAATTCTGTGTTCTCATCCCCAGAACATCTTATTATTTTTTTCTCTCCAAAGAAGCTTATCCATCCATTTTTATTCTTCAGTAGTGTATCTTCCAGGAAGTGTTTCCTGGTTTTCTGTTTGGAGCACATCCTATTTTATTCAGAATATCAGAAACCTATTCTTCTGGAAGATCCCTTTTCAGAAAATTATAGCCACCACCAAAATAGCCAGATTGACCAATACAATATCTCTGGGTTTTGGATTAAACATACCTACCATAATCCATACAACACTAAAACTTTTAATATCAACTATTCAAGTGCAAGTATTCAAAATGTATATATAAACCTTAATCTCAATATGGTGACCTGATAAAGGAGAATGCGGAGGGAGCTAAAATTAGCCCGCACCAAAATATACCTTCCCAGAAAACTAAACTCTTGATAACACATAATAACACATTTAGAAGGCCAAGGTACTGGGAAAGCAAAACAAGATATAAAAAAACATGTTCATCAAATATTGCCTCTTTGTTTTCTCAAAACCCCCGTTGTCTTTGTAGTCCTGCCCCATCACCTCATGGTATCCCCTTATTGCCTCCCTTATTGACTTCATCAGATACATGGTGTACTGTAGCCAATCAAAAACTTGTTATAGTTTATGGCAATCAGATACTGCTTGCTACTCTAATTTGCTAAATCTAAATCTATAAAGAGGGGCCTTAACAGATAACAGATAATCAGAGTTGGAAGGGACCTTATAGGTCATCTAGTCCAACCCCCCCCCCACCCAAGCGGGAGACCCTATACCATTTCTGACAAATGGCCCTTCCATCTTTAGACCTGTTTTTGCCTCCAGCACTGCCACTATTAAACCAGGTTTTTCTTCAGTGTAATTATGTCCTGGTCTCCAGTTCAAATGTATTTTTGAGAAAAATTTCCTTCACTCAATTTCTCCAATACATTATAATCAAGCTTATACAAAGATATTTCACCCTGCTAAGTATGCATCTTTCACCTGACAGGGTGGGGACAACTTGATTGGAAGAGTAGGAAAAAATGAAGACTGAGTAAGAGATAAACATTTTGTTCCTCACCCAATTATGGCCACCTACACTGATCATACACATTCAAGGGATCCAAATCTTACTTTATGAAAAATGCTTTTCTATATACATTTATGTAAAATGTGTCCTTTTCCCAGGATTACTTAAGTTTTCCAGATGCCTTTGATGGGTTAATGTCAAGGGTATATTCTCATGTATTAGGGCATTGAGTTGGGAATTTCATAAACAGTGGCATAGGCAACCTGATGCTCTCCAGATGTTTTGACTCCTATAAGCTCTGATCATTCATCATGCTGACTATATCTTATGGGAACTATAATCCAAAACACCTTCAGGACATCAGACGGTATGCATAAGGGCATTGCATATGGCCTTTTTTAGATTTCAGCTTTCAAAACTTAGAGGGAGGCATACATGCTCCTGGGGCCTCCAGCTGTGCATTGCTGCTCCAGGTGTTTGTTGTTCATTTATTTATACATCCAGTGGCTTGCACATTCTCCCATGGGTTTGTTGCCTAAGGATTTTTCCCTTTAAAACTTGAACACCCCATACTCAGACATTTCCTGTAGCTGTCATAGTGCACATAGTGGGTCACTACAGCTGTTTGCATGATGAAAGCTACAGGAACTGGCTAAAAATAGAAAGTTCAGCATCTCTCCGGATCTGGCAAGGTAATCAATTCTGCTTCCTACCTGTGATTACTGCTTCCTGTGTATGTTTCCCGTTTCTTAAGTTTTCTTTGAATTAGGTATATAATTGCAATGGCACCTGTGTCCCAAAGGTGCTTTTCAAAAGGCAACTGGACTTTCTTGTGTTTTTTTTTCCTTGAAAACGTTTCACTTCTCATCCAACAAGCTTTCTTGAGTCGGAACTGAAGAAGCTTCTTAGATGAGAAGCAAAACGTTTTCAAGGGGGAAAAAAAATCAAGTTCAATTGCCTTTTGAAAAAGCACCTTTGGGACAACCATAGATATTAGCACCTATGCTTGCAATGGAAATTAAAATCTTCCAAGACTGCACGTACCAGATTTTTTTATCACTTCTTCACTCATTGGATTTATTGCTCATGCCAGTTTCTCCCTGCTTAGGGATCATCCTCCCCCCCCCCAGCAATAAAATGTGAATTCTATTGAATACAGTGCCACTTACTTTAGAGTAAACATATTTTGAAACTGAGAGCAAGAGGCAAGTCACACAGTGCATTCAGCATATGAATGCTGCTCTCTTAATGTTTTTGTTTCACCCAGATGAAAACCACAGCATGCAGTGAGTGGAAGCTTAATCCCTTTCCATACGTGACTATATGTGACTATAGGCTGCAGCTGAATAAAAAAATACAAAAAACTTTGCCTTCAGCCCATATTTACTTGCTTGGTCTCACTAAATTCTAGTTAAAAGAACATTTGATTGTTTGAAAAAAAAATCTTGTTAATTATAAATTTGTTTTTGAAGTGACATGCGTATTTACCTTTGTATCCAATCTAACAATGTCTAAATTTTAATTTCAAATATTTCCTTATCAGAAAATCTTGCTCTTACAGTAAAATGATGACACATTAAACATCCAAGAAAAACCACTTCTACAGTTATTGTTTATCCTTTTTGTATAATGATTGAAAAGATTGCTGCTCTGGAATATTTTGTTGAATTGAATGAATTTGAGGAAGCATTATTTGATCTTTCCAAATGGCATAACTAGGCCATTTTATAGGTAGAAAAAACTATTATGGACCAATAAAAAAGGACAATTACAGTACATGATATTTTAGAATAATTTGTTTGTGATTGTACACAAGATAAAATGATTAAATAATCAATCAAATGTAAATGCTCTTCTGTAACTGCAGATTTTTAAAGAATGAACTCTTATTATTGAAAAAATAGTGAGTGCCTTGAAACATGTTTTATAGGCTTCATATGTTGTTTAAAGAATTAGAGAAACCAGTTAGTTTACTTCAGTGGCCATCAACCCATCACAGCTCTTAACCAATAATGATCACACAGTTATTCTATACGCTAATAGACCATCATAATTTAGCAAATGAAAATAATTATTCTTATCACCAAACTTCATGTAGAATCTGTCTCTCTGTATGTAAGGAGTATTTTAATGGAAGCTGGTGTAGAATATCGTAGAATTTTGCATGGGGTTATGTTTACTAGTTTTCATTAATTTAAAAAGAAACATTTAAGAAAGCAAGAGGCAGTCAAAACAATGCTTCTCAGCTACTCTTTTATTGATCAGTTATTTTATTGTATTCTTTAATCCCAGATATAAAGTTTTACAGTGGTTAGCGTGAAGGTCCTCATCTGTTGAGGAATCTATAAAATGCTACCATTAAATCTTTCAGTTATTGACAGTTCCACTTCTATAAAATCACAGTGACAAGAGGAATATTTTTATGTCTCAGAAAGTTGTTTCCTGTTGCATGAAAATCCATGCTTAGACTTATGAAAGAAGACTATCAAATAACCTTAAAAAAAACATTGAATGACAAGGAGTTGTTAATGCTGGCTTAGATTTGAATTAATGGAGTCCAAAAGTATTGAAAGCGTAGCTGTTCATACCGATAATGACTTAGCCTAGTTCTCAAATACACTATCTCTTAATTTTAATAGACCATTTGTAGGAGGGATTCCATTATTCCCAAATAGACATTTAAATATGAAAGTACCATTGTCATTTTGCTTAATTATACCAATGGCTATGTTACATAAATTGCTATGAATGTGGCAAAATTAAAAACAAATGTAACTGCTTCACCCAAATTATTTCTGATGCAGCAGAATTATTCTTTATTTGGGGAAAATATTTGGATGCAAATTTGGTCTGTGGCATCCAAAGTCTGCTGTGGGAGTCCATTAAACGGAGGCTTAACTGTATGAAAATAAATAAGTGCCCTCTGCTGTTCTGCATAATGATTTGGTTTTTATTTATTTTGCACATATACTAATGCAAATAACAAGGGTAGTTCATGATAGATTTTTAAGGAAAACTTGTAATCTGTTCTATAGGCCATATGTACTGCCTACTGTATCTTTTAATATTTTGAAAGCTAGGCCTGCTGTTGTGTATTCTTTACTGGCTCACTTTATATTTTCTATCACAAGCAGATCTAATCTGACCTAACAGATAAGAACCATGAGATTAAAATGTGCATGAATTCAGTCGCTTGTCAGTAAATGAGGAAAGAATCTCAACTGAAAAGTACAGTTGACATACAGATTTTTCTCCTTACACCGATAACCAGCTGTGGCTAAAACAGTGGATGAGGCTTCCCAGTCCCTACTTTGGCTCTTCTACTTACTGGAGAATTTGTCCGTAGTCAAATCTTCTTTTCTGCCTTGGCAAAAAAAAAATTTTTTTCACTGCGAGATCCTATAGACATCAAGGGAACCTGCATAACCTAATTGTACAGAACTGCAGCCTTGATTTGAAATTATTGCTTTTGTGGCTTGAATCTGGGAAAGAAACCTGTGCCTCCAATGTTTTTGTAATGCTGTCTTCAGAGCTGCTTGTATGATCAGAGTTATAGAGAAAATTCGTTGTTTCTTTCCCCTCCTTTTTTTCAAAAGTCATTTCCTGTTTGATTTGGGAGTTTTGGTTTTGCAAGTTATGCTGAACTGCTCCTGAAATATGCCCAAGGTGTTCTCTAATTAAGCTTCCATCCTTGAGAAGTGTTTCTTTTTTACATTTCTGCATCTGTTTAGGTATATCTCAACGGCTACCATGGTGATACATCCGAAACACTGTTAGTGGGGAATGTGGATAAGGCTGGTCAAAAGTTAGTGGAGGTTGCCAGGAAATGCAGAGATGAAGGAATTGCAGTTTGCAGACCTGGGGCTCCTTTCTCCGTAATTGGAAACACAATCAGGTAAGCCTTATGCTGAGGAGTAATGGGAAAGCTGGCCAAATAGGACAAAGGCCATTGGTGGCTTGGTTTAAAGCCGATGGCATGTTTTATGATTCAGAACCATCCTTTCAATCTGATATCACCACGTGAACTCCGTTGTTCTCCAAAGGTGGTTAGAAAAGATTTTAAATGGTGAATTATGCAAGACCAGGTCAGGAAAACTATCTGTGTAAAAAAAAAAAAGTAAAACATGTTTCTAAAACTGATCACACTCACCCTTTCCCCAATATAATTACTAGCACTTTGGATTGCATTAATACAATATGACTATATTAAGATTTATGTAAGTTCATCTGTTTCTTGCATGATAAGTAAGGTGTTTGTAAATGTGATGAAGGACTTGGAAAATTTCTCCTTTACGCCAAAAAAAAAAAGAAAGAAAGAAAAAGATGACTCCTTCTGACCTTGGTAAAACCTGATATTGATATATTGGCCTATCGTGTTCAACTTGGTTAAAATATATTAACAAGGTTTTTCATAATTTCTGCACGGGTCGTTTTTTGTAAGAGTCCATCTTATTTTTTGCCCGTGTATACTAATACTATTAGGAGAGGCATGTGTATCTTAAGGCTATAAAACATGCATTGCTTAACATCCTGAGAATATGCTATTTTTATACTTCCCCCCCATCTCCCAAATGCTTTACAAAAAATAAGAAAAGAGAGCAGCAAAATATCAGTTTGATGTATTTATAGCTTTAAAAATATTGTAACAGAGTCTGAATCAAACTTTAGTAAAACCACTTTGGGTTATATCCAAGAAGCTTTTATTGAAGACTTTGTATAAAATTGTGTTTTTGACAGTTTTAAATTACAGGCTAACTAGCCTGGGGAAAAAGGATAGTGTCTTTACTGTTCTTTCATAGGAAATGTTGAATCAGACCCCTACTGGGAAAAGAAATTTAATGCATATCTCACTATCCTACTGTCCATGAATATAATAGAAGTGAATTCAAAATGTAGTTTTATTTTTGCAAATGGGATGAGTCGATGGATGCACCTCCGTATTTCTGAACACCTAGAGTTCAACAAATTTACTGGTGGTGCGCTTGCATTTTAACAAAATTTATGCTCTGAGTCGAAGGGGGCAGAGAAGACAAGATTCTTATTCAAGCGTTTTCTCGAGCACGGCATTCATGGCAGTGTCTAAAGGGCATGTCAGCCTTTGATTCTCTCTGAGAGGTAATTATCCTTTTCCTGTCACAGAACAACAAATGATAGCTAACTACAGAGGCACATTTGCAGTAGTCACATTCATCAACTGCAGGGGGAAAAAAAATTCAATTTAATTGTGCAACACAGCTGCACACAGGCTTTTTGAGCAGTTGTGTTGTTCTCCCTGTCTTGCTATTCCTTCCTACCAGATCTATTTTTTAAACTTTTCTCCCCTCCTTGCTTTTTTCCCCCCTCTCCCTTTTCCCCCTCTCTTTATTTTTTTATTTTTTTTTTGTCTCTTCTTCCATTTTTACTCTCTGTACTTTCTTGTAAAAGTAATTTTCCTTTGTGGCTCTCGTTCTTTTTTTCCCCCCATTGAAGGCTATGAATGTAGAAAATTATCACAATTACTCATATAATTGAGCCTCTTTGTAGCAAGTGCAACTCCAGTAGCCTTTCTCCATCATGAAAATGGTTTCATTATAGGGTTTTTCATATTCTCTGACACCATCTACCCAAAAGAACAGGCGTGCAGATGAGATGTGCTAGGAATAGGGTAGATCAGGAAGGTCACAGTGGGAATAATTAGCTCTGCTATGGAAAGAGCATCTAGGCCTTTTACTGCTACATAAATGTACTGTCCATGGCTTTTAGGCACAAAAAAACTTACTAACAAATGGAGCTCCCGCCTACTACTTTGAAAAAAAGATTTGTATCAACACTACAATTTTCCATCATTAAGACTAATAACACAGAGCCTCGTATACATCAAGGGGAATAAAAAGAAAAATCTCACATTCAAGTGGCGACTGGGTGCTGACCTTTGTTCCCCTTTTTTGTGTACGACTTAACTCTTTACAAAAAAGAGCCACACGCCACACCAACAGGCAGGTGAACTCCAGCCAGTGCTGGCGAAGTGCTGCGTTCAACTTGAAAAATTGGAGAAAGCTCCTTGTTGGATAATGTGTTTCATTAGATTCACTCCATTAATTCTGGCTACATTAAAAGTGAGACACAGAAGGATCACAACTAAAAGTAGCTTTAATCCCTTCCTTCCTTCCTTCCTTCCTTCCTTCCTTCCTTCCTTCCTTCCTTCCTTCCTCCCTCCCTCCCTCCCTCCCTCCCTCCCTCCCTCCCTCCCTCTCTCCCTTTTTTCCTGTACAGTGTTGATGCAGAGGTCAGTATTTTCGCAGCATGAAAATATGTATGCAAAGCTCTGTTGAAAAGCAAATTAACCAGATTGATCCATAGTCACAATTGCAGACAGAATAACAAATCACAATCAACTGGCTCCCCCCCCTTCTCCCTTTAATATTTCCTTTTGAATTTATATATGCTAGTTTTATTTAAATTTTCATGCAACTAAAGATTTTTCTGGCCTAAATTGTCATATATCTCTAAACGTTAATATTTTAAAACTCGCGTAAACAAAATTACAAAGTGGTGGGGGAAATGTGTAAAATTTTCATCATGTTTGTGGTGATACTTATTAAGGTCTAACTATGTCTTCTATCTGCCATGTGTTCAGAATGTTTATAGATTTTGTTTAAAGGCACCATTGTGCATCCTACATATTAATATATAGGATCGATGTGAATATGGTCTGAATTCCAGAATATCCTGTAATTTTATGATTTGATCTTAAAGGCTCATGGCTTAATTTGGGCTAGATTCAATCAAACATATAAAAATATTTATGAATTTGTATTGCACATTAGCTATTTCTTAGGTGAAAAATCAAACTGCTTTTGTTGAAATCCCTTACATTGTTCACCAAAATTCAAATGGAAAGTATTGTGATCATAATCACTTTGGAGTGTTCTTTACATATACCATAGCCTTTTTAATGTGATTATTACAACCACATACAAATTACAGTTTTTAAAATAAAGAATCTGGATCTCTGAAAATGACTTACAGAACTAAACAAATATAAGCATAGTTAAATCAAGGCATTTTAAACTCTGTTGTTAACATTATTGAGATAAGAGTATCAATAAATGGTTTCTAAATGTTTTAAATTATAAATACAATGTTTTGATACTACCTTAGAACAATACAAAAGCAGGGTTTTTTTTAAAAAAAGAGAAATCTGTTTCTATCAGATTATGCACATTTAAACAATAAGTGGCTCAGGCAAAATAAGTCATTTTAATGTCATCAGTGATAGATTTTCTTTGACAGCTACTGTAAATTACAATTACATTCCTTCTCCTTTGAAAGTAAGCATTGCAATAAATTATCTTTTATTTCAATCCATCAAGACTGCCTTTCAGAAATGAAACACCTCAAATAAAAGTTCAACGGCAGAGTAAGAAAAATACAGTAATTTGTGTTAGTTTAAAACCAAAAATGTACCTTTCTTTACAAAGAATGTCCACAATTGTGGGTTTTCAAAAATATGGTTAATTATACCTCATCGTTCATTGTCATTAGAGGGAATCCCAGAAATTGTACATTCCATTAGTCTAGGACTGTTATGGAAGGAATACCTTAAAACTCTTCCGGCAGACAGTTGGGTAAGCCAGTACAATACCGCTGACCAAATTAATATAAACTATCCTTTGTTTAAATATCTTTAAAAATTAGAGTACATCTGCATTGCTATTTGTGCGGCTGAGTTGTAGAGGTAAACCAAGGCAACTGCCAATAATATGTGGCCCTTCAAATGCTAAGACCTAGGTCTTCCTGTATTGATTTTCTATTTGTACATTGGGGCGTTCCTGTCCTGCCCATCCCCCCTCTTGAGTGGTCCCAGAACCCTTCAAGGAATCATTTGAGGCTATATGGACAAATTCTATTTCTGATGCCACTAATAGAAATTAGCATTTGACTCCATCATATAAATGTTAACGATGGCTTGGTCTCCTTCCATTCTCCTGGAGTGGCTTTCATTTTTTTCCTCTTGATATTAAAACCCTTAAAAGGATTGTTGTTTTAAATCCGATAGTTTACCGTCTTCTTCAGATTTCATCCCCCCCAAAGTAGTTTGCTGTTAGCTGAAACAAACAAACGTTTTGTTCCTCTGAGAAATACATATAAAATATAAAGAAAAATAAATATGTAAACTCATCTTTCAGACCAGAATGTGGATAAAAAAGGGAGCTTGATTCCAGCCTTGGAGAATAGATGTCTTATGTGTAGAAATATTAGTTCAGTACTATATTTTCATGGGTAAATTGAGGCTGCTTTTTCTTGCATCATAATAACCTAATCTCTAATTTAGAATCAGTTCACACAGGAAGAGGATACAGGTTCACATGGGAAAACCTGAGCAGCATCAAGTAGTCAGGTTTTTGAATTGTGGATTTATTGATGTAGTTGGTTTCATGAACATAATTCTATTTTTAATGCATTGTAATCACATACGTTCAATTCAAGTATTGCGAACATGAGCTTTTTTTAATTAAAAATATACCCATTTATTTACTTTTATTAAAAATATTTGTAGACTGTCCATTATCCAGGGGATCTTGTGACAGGCTGAAATTTGGCATGTGACAGATAATGCACTGTTTAACCTAGAACAAAGATTGCAAGATAATTGCACTATGGATTTGCAATTCCATGTATGCCTCTAATTGCTTCTTTACCTGCACTGACAGTCTAGCTTTGGCTTGACCTGTTATTTTTGTATGCAGAAGGCTATTAAAATATTTCAGAAAAGCAAATCCACTGTGAACTTGTATGAGATAGTCCTGTTATATGAGGAAGTTCCAAGGTATGCTTTGTTGAATTGCTCCTTTGTCATGAATTTTTTTAAAAAAATCAAATGACTCAAATCAATTTTCTAAATGCTGGGCTCAT